TAATCACTGACAGTTATGTTGTCGATAAAATCATTACCGACAGAACTTTTACTATCGGTATCTATCGCGAAGGAAAAATTCCATCGATCAGTCGGGTTACTGACGGAATATTGACCTTTAGCGTCGAAAATATCCATCGCTGAAGTTGTAGTTTCTAGTCGTGTTTAGTAGCATCCATTTTTTTCATCATATTCTTTGAAAAATAAATTAATACATGAAAGAATTGACAAAAGGATCTGAGTCCGTTCTTTACGCGACTGGTTTATTTAGTGCATTTATTTGGATATATTATGCATTTCTCAAGCCTTGCACTACTCTTCTTATAACAACAAACTCACTTGTATGTCTTGTTCAAGCTACATATGTTTATTTGTGCCTTTTTTAGAAGGCAAAAGATGATGCTTATTGTACTAATTAAAAATTAATATCAACTTATAAATTTCTTAGTTATATGCTTAATACGTATTTTTATTGCAACAAACAAAATCGTGGCTATGGTGGTTCTCCTAAATATTATTGTTCTCGATTTGCTCGTTTACTGCTCAATTTCTAATAGAAGGTCGACAATATGTATCTATTGTTGTATGAATTTGTCTTATTTTTTTTTCTATTAGTATTCGGCCCTTTGTGTATTGTGGTCATTTAATTTTTCTTCTCTATGTTGTAATAATTAATTAATGTTATTATATTAACATCGGTGCATTTGACACGCAGAGACACGTTATGTGAACAAAATGTATTAAATACATGTTTTCTATAGCGGTTGGAGATCGCTGCATCAGCCAAAAGTGCAAGAGTCCATATTAGAGATGCTATAGCAGAGTATAGGCCTATCCATGGCATTGGTGCATTAGAGTCCATTTTGTTCAATTGTTCAGCTCACTTCCCACGACTGCTTTACTTTGGATTTAAGATGAGGATGCTCAAGTGGTGGAAATTTCTTTGTTATTTCAATGCAATTTCAGCTAAAAGACAAAATAGTTTGGGGCTGACTTGTCTTGGGAGTTCATGAGTTAAAATCAAGAGAGTATGAATTATGAGACTTAATTTCTTATTAAATCTCAGTATCCGTATGTATCACTCATATTCTACTAATATGTGTCCACCTACAACTTCATATTTTCTTTC